GGCAGCGAAGAAGCAAGAGCCCAAGTCAAAGATGCATGAAAAAGGCACAACGCAAACCAAAAAAAAACATTGCAGTCCACTACTAGCAACTGTTCTATACTCTGTATACAGTGTAAATGCCAATAAAAGACGTCCCTTTAACTATAAATTTTAAGCCGTATGCATATTATAATTATAATAATTTATGATTCTGATGTGGGTATGGCAATACTATTTCCTTTGATTTCTATATATGTAGATATAAGAACTAACTCTACGCTAATATGCCCGTTGCTTTAATTTCTTAACAGTGTATAAAAAGCGCGTCTGACTTTTCGAGGCTTTGGACGCTCTGCTGCCGCGCTGCTTCATTGCTGTTCTTTTCATGGTCAATCACCCGACGCTTTTAAAGGAGACGCAACAGAAAAAAAACATAAGAAGCCAACAACAAAAGCGCCTAATTACAATCATTTGTGACTTTCAAATGGGCGAGAGAGATGCCTATCGCTTAATAGGCGCAGCACTAATTTAAGAGAGTGAGAGAGTGCGCAAGGCATATTAATCAGAGCAGCTACGCCCGGCTGCAGCAATTGCGCCTGATCCTCCGCCTGGGCAAGTTCATTGCACATGCCCAGCGACACACACACACGCACACACATACAAACGCTAGACACAATTTTTTTTATTTACTTTTTCCAGCGACACAGGCAACAATTGGGGACTGGCAAAAACTGGTTTTGTTGTGTGTGTGTTAACAATTTTTCGCTCTTTCGGCGTCGCTCTTAAATATCGAACTGGCTTTTCGAATATGCCCAACGAAAACCAAAAACAACAACAAAGTGAAACCTCCGAAAAACCAGTTTCGACTTCAAGGAACTGCTGGCATCTTCAACTCCGCGGGGGTGTCCGAAAATAAAAAAAACTGCAAGCAAGTTGTGTGCCCGAAGACGCATCCATAGCCGAAGCAGCAAAAACTAAGCCGAAGTTCCCAACTTAATAGAAAACTGGGTTTTTTTCGTTTGTTTTCAAAATACCCTTTGTCTACTAAGAGAATGACTAGAAGGCGGATAAGAGCGAGAGATCTTAGATAGTAGTTGATAATATGTGTATATAAAAACACTTTAATTTTTGAGTGAACTGAGTCCACAAGAGAATATCCCTCTACTAATTATAATCAGTTAGATCTACTGCAGGGTATTTACTTATCAAGTTTGTGCTTGTTCTACTTGTTTCTGTCAATTTGTTTTTTTTTTTTCGGGAGGAATACTTGGACTGCAGTGCGTCTTTGTTCTGTGCGGAGTTATTAGACGAGCTTGTTTTACGACCATTCCAGAGACAGAACAAAAAAATACTACCCGATGATAATCACAGACATGAAACTATTTTCAAAGGCACTTAAAGCAAGGCGCGCATAAATCTTGACAAGTGTGGGACACAAGGAGTGCAAGAGAGGGTTGACAAGCGGGGAGAGCGAGGGAGCTGGCGAGGGGGCGGGGCCAACAGCATCGTAAAAACTGTGACTAGCTGTTGATTTTTATCGAGCCGAAGTATTTTTTTTATTTTTGTTTTTGTTTTTAATTACAGTGCACGCAAAGCGCGCGGCGAAAGTCAGACAGAAGAAGAAGACGAACAATGGGGAGAAGCAGCAGGAGCTAAAGAGGCAGAAGCAACAGTAATAAAAGGATGAAAACCATAATTAATTGCAGCTGGAACATGCCAAAGACTAAGAAAGTGTTACAGAGAGAGAGAGAGAGAGAGAGACAGAGGGGGGCTGACTGCGCGGGCGTAGCTGCGAAGAGATTGCGCCCATTGACAGGCTAATTTATTGTAACGGCAACTGACATGGCAGGCCGCTGCGTTTTCGAATCCGTGAAAACATCCTCCTCAGACAAAAGGCCACTTTCCTTGTTGTCGCTGATAAATTGGCAGCGAAGTGCGACCCGAATTCGCCTCAAAAATAAAAGGGAATTTATAAAAGTGATCGCAGTGAATGACTTGGCGAAAAAGCAGACTTAACGGCAACTTACGAGCCCCCCCCACTGCTCCCACCTCTCTCAGTCGCTCTCTCCCTCACACACACTCTCTCTCTCTCTCTCTCTTCCCATCTGTCTCGCTGACGTTGTTCAAGTTATTAGGGGTAGTCCTCAATTAAGAGACAATGTTCGTTATGCGGGCCTCAGTTGCCATGTGGCTACACCTAATCTGATCTCATAAAATGCTGCGATCTAAATCTGCCTGTCAAACTTGACAAGGAGTACCAAAATAATTGTTCAACTTGATGGGAAAAGTTTCCTTTTATCCGAGCAGGCACAGCTGTCGCTGCTCGAATGGGGTCCTTTCAGCCAGTGTAATGCTTAACAAATGTGACAATCCGACAATTTAAATGAGCGTTAAGTGAGGGGCATGAAAGAATAAAGGGGTTCCCGAATTGACAATCGGTTTAGTTATTGTAGGTGTCTACATGGCTTCACAGATTCCCGCAGATAAAAAGGTAAATGAAGCAGGAAGAAGAAGGGGCAGTGAGTTGTTAAGATGTTTAGCTTCTGTACTGCAACAATTACGATGCATTGATTTTTTAATAAGGTATACGGGAGTGCACGACTAGAAGATACCCTGCAATCTACCGATCTTTCGAGATCTCTTTTACATATACATGACTATCAATAAATGCTCATATTTTGCTAATCGACATTTCAGAATGTAGGTGTAACATCCAGATAATCAGATCAACAATGAGTGGTACGCCTTCTTACTGACTTCTATGAGTTCAGAGTATCATAATATTTATTTACCTACCAATTTTGAAAAATGGGATTACATCTTCCATAACACCAAGAACCAGGAACTTTATATTATATATTTTATTTGCAAGAACCTACCTATTCAAAAGTTTTCTTCTTATAAAGTTTGTCGTGATCTCTAGATATCATATAAATCTTAGACACAAATCAGTATGAACAGACTAAGGATGTCTGCATAACCTACCTAAAGTCAGTTTCGTACCATTTAAAAGATATAAGTTAAGAGATATAAGTCGAGTTCGACTTCTCTCTCTCTCTCTCTCTCTCTCAGAAAACCAAGCACTTTCTTATCTTAACCAAGAATTGACTTTCGTTATATAACATTTTTAGCGATCTTATCTATATACTTTAGCAGATTTCTTGTACAGCCATCTGGCGAGTCAGGTAACCTTTAGAACGAACTTAAAGCAAAGTTCATTCTGAGAGATACATATCATGCGTGAACAAACAGCGATGCAGATGTTGATAAGTGATGTTTGCCACAGCAGCCGGTGGAGGAGCGGAGAGACTGGGTTGCGACTGTAGAGTTTACCTTTTTGGCCATAATTCTAGGAATTGGCAAGTAGTCGATAGATAAGAGCGAAGTGAAGACGGCGACCAGGTGGCGAGATTTGCATGACGCAAACTTTGTGTTTGTTCCGTCTAAAGCTTAAACAAGTTGGCAAAGTATCTGCCACACTCGTTGCTCATTAAGAGCTTAGGGAAGCGGCGGCACGCACTTGGTAGCCACTTCAAGTGGCAAGTGGCAAGCCGGATGCCTGTGGACAATGTGTCAAATTGTGCGAGGCGACAGTACGAAGAATGGAAAAGCGCTGCGAATGGCAAACATGTGTGAAAACTCAAAGCGCAAGAGAGAGGGAGAGAGAAGAGTAGAGTAGAGATGAAAGAAGCTGGCAGCTGCCACAAAAGGTGGCAGCCTGCATTCAGCATTTGCTGGCACTTCTGATGTCTACATTAGGCGCGGCCATGTCTAATGAATGATTCGCTCTCTTTAAAAGGTGAAAGCTCAATCCATGAAATTGTAAGAATCCCCCCAACCCGCGCTTGCTCCCTGCTTATAGCTCGCCCTACAGCCTGTCCCCAGCTGAGGCGTAGCGAATGCCTGCCACAGTTTATCGCCACATGTTGCAATGCCAAAGCAAATGCAAAGCAAAACAAAACAATGCCAAACAAGAGCAAATTGTGTTCGTCTAGACGACTTTTAATTACCCTAAAATTGCATCAAGTTTCTTATAAATGTTATCGATAGTTAGCCATTCTACTTTAGATCGATATATATCGAATTGAAGCTGTTCTGAATTGCCTGGAATATATATTTTATCTAGTGTAATACACTATAAATGTTAGTAGGAGCGTAACTGAAAGAACGAGGGTGGCCTGAAAAGTTTTCTCTTATGTAATTTTTAGACTATTCTCATAAAATCCAACTTTCCCTTGGTAAGTATATCTTCTGTCATATTCGAAATACAAAAAGATTGAAGATAGAAGATAAAAGATAGCAGACAGAAAACGGAAGATGGAAAATAGAAGATCGAAGTTTAAAGATAAAATATTTAAGATAGAAAAGAGAGGATTAAGGATAGAAGATGTAAGATAGACGATAGTAGATAGAAGATAGAATATAGCTTTCAAAAGACACAATATAGAAGGAAGAGTATCAAGGTCAAAATTGGAATTTCTGATAATGTGAAATAAATTTTTTGCCTGATAAAAATAAAATATTTCAGATTAGCAAAATTCGCAAATCTGAATAGTTTAGCTTTGGAAATATTTTTCACCCTAGACAGAAGTATTTCTAAATAAATATAATATACTCGTAATACAATAAAATCTCAAACCAAATGGCTGGCAAAGTTAGAGCATCCTATGCAAAGGGCATTTATATAGCTTCCAGTTTTTTTTAGACTATTCCATATGTTTGCCCTCTGCTAGGTCTGTCAGTGCGTAGTGCCTCGCTCCAAACAATATGTCAGACTATAAATAGGCAGTTCACAATGCAGCGGCCAGAAAGCAGACAAAGAACGCAGCATCTGGAGCTGTTTTTGCATAGGTCGGGAAAGTTGGATGAGCGACGACAGTGCAAAGCCGACCATGGATCGGAGGATGAGTTGGACGAGGAGCTGATAGCTGCTATAAAGCAACGCGGTCAGGTGGAGTGCAAACGCAATTTACTGCTATGTGCCGTTGTCTTTCCACTCATATCGATAATTATTTTCTTACTTGGATTATTGTTGGCCTCGCGCCAGTGAGCGGCAGCTCGGCAGCCGAATGTGCTCCGGGCTTGGCCCTTGCAGCAGCTCCACTTCTTGCCCGACCAGAGACCAGGATGATATCGATACGATTTCGGTGTATTGCTGTCCTCACAAACTGCAAGAAGGAGAAGACGAAGAAGTGTTAAAGAGTTTGCCAGCAATAAAACAAAGTTGGAAAAAGAGTAAAAGCTAAAAGCTACGACCCACACAGCTGACTTCACAGATTTGGGTTAAGCATCTTTGCTGTTGCTGTTGTTGCTGCTCTGTCTGGCCTGGATGACTCCCAAGGCTTCGATGGCACCGCTGATGGCTTATCGTGCCGCAGCGATTGGCAGCTGCTGCTGCTGCTGCTGCATCTGCAACTCTTTTCAATATGCCCTCTAATCAATTTAATAATCTACAGTAGCGGGTATATTGGCATGAAGCATGTTCATTACCTTAACGTTGAACAGATTTATTGTATAATCATTTAACATAAATTGGTCATTTTTGTCTGCATCGATATATATCGATAAATCGATGCATGTGTGTATCACTCTATTGAGTACATCTCTCTAGATTCTGCCAAGTGATAGCGTTACTGTACTTTTGTTAAGCCATCTGTCTCAAGTAAATAGGAATATATTTCGAACATCGATAAATATCGAAAATCGGCCTGGTTGTTAACACCATGTGAACTTATTTTGTTACTAAATGTCTCGTTCTTCCCGCCTATATAAAGTATGACAATTTCTTTGATATTTTCGTGCATCAACTGAAAATCGATATATATCGATAACACAAGCTTATCTATTCAAGGCCATATTTTATATAAAATTAATTTAATTCACTAATTTATTACAGAGGCCGTTTTGTAGTCAACATAGATGTACTTTTATTTAACATCGATAAATATCGTTTTTATAACTGTCTTTCATTTAACATTTCGATAAGTTGAAATTTGATATATTGTCCAGATTTTATATTTGGTAACTTTAATGCAGAGCAAATAGCTGAAAAATGTGGAGTCTTCAGCATTTAGTCCTAAAATCGATAAATATCGAATTGGCAGTCTTTGCTACTTATTTAAAGCTCTGATACAGAAAGAGCTGGCATTACTAACTCTTGTGCTTCTATTAACATTTAATTATTAGCTGCTCAACCCAACACGGGATATCTGCTAGTCGAGCCAAGTCGTCCCTCAAGTACTTTTGATTTTTATTATATTTATTTTGGGGTCATCATTGAAGTTGCGCGCGACTGTTGGCGCTGTCAATGCTTACCTTGTCGTATCGCTCGTATCCACTCGCTGCGCTCCTTCGCGCTGTTGGCTATCACGTAGAGCGTGTATTGGGGCACGGCTCTGCCCACCAGATGCTGCCCCTCGCCCAGATGCTGTTGCTCCGCCGCCTGCTGCTGTGCGGCTGTCGTCGACGTCGTCTCGCAGTAGCCCACTTGAAAGGGGTAACCCTGTAGGTAATTGGTTGGGCGCATTTGAGCAATGCGTTAATGTTAATGTTAATGTTAATCTCAATCAAAATCATTCAGAGCTCGCTCTTTGTACTTACATCCGGCGCAAAGGGATCACCGCCCTCGCCGCTAACTGTCGCCTCCTCGACGAGACGGACGCCCTTCAGATTTATTCGACCTCGTTCACGACGTCGCTGCAGGGAGTAGAGAAGAGCAGAGAGAATTGATATTGAGTATATATGTTTAGGGAAGTGACTAAGTGGCAAAACGGTTATAGGGCTACTTTCAAAGGACTTTGATCTGATTAAGATTTATGCCAGAGCTGAGGCAAGCAGACAGCGGTTAGGAAATCGAGCTGAATCTGTTAAGTGGCGTAATGTTTAAGGAACTTATTTAAATGTGCTTTAATTTGGTAAAGGATTTTGGTATTTCAGTAATGAGGAACTTATTTAAATGTGCTTTAATTTGGTAAAGGATTTTGGTATTTCAGTATTGAAAACGTAACTTAAGAAACTTATTTAAATGTGCTTTAATTTGGTAAAGGATTTTGGTATTTCAGTAATGAGGAACTTATTTAAATGTGCTTTAATTTGGTAAAGGATTTTGGTATTTCAGTATTGAAAACGTAACTTAAGAAACTTATTTAAATGTGCTTTAATTTGGTAAAGGATTTTGGTATTTCAGTAATGAGGAACTTATTTAAATGTGCTTTAATTTGGTAAAGGATTTTGGTATTTCAGTATTGAAAACGTAACTTAAGAAACTTATTTAAATGTGATTTAATTTGGTAAAGGATTTTGGTATTTCAGTAATGAAAACTTAACTTAAGGAACTTATTTAAATGTGCTTTGATTTGGTATAGGATTTTGGTATTTCAGTAATGAAAACTTTACTTAAGGAACTTATTTAAATGTGCTTTAATTTGGTAAAGGATTATGGTATTTCAGTAATGAGGAACTTATTTAAATGTGCTTTAATTTGGTAAAGGATTTTGGTATTTCAGTATTGAAAACGTAACTTAAGAAACTTATTTAAATGTGCTTTAATTTGGTAAAGGATTTTGGTATTTCAGTAATGAGGAACTTATTTAAATGTGCTTTGATTTGGTATAGGATTTTGGTATTTCAGTAATGAAAACTTTACTTAAGGAACTTATTTAAATGTGCTTTAATTTGGTAAAGGATTATGGTATTTCAGTAATGAGGAACTTATTTAAATGTGCTTTAATTTGGTAAAGGATTTTGGTATTTCAGTAATGAAAACTTTACTTAAGGAACTTATTTAAATGTGCTTTAATTTGGTAAAGGATTATGGTATTTCAGTAATGAGGAACTTATTTAAATGTGCTTTAATTTGGTAAAGGATTTTGGTATTTCAGTAATGAGGAACTTATTTAAATGTGCTTTGATTTGGTATAGGATTTTGGTATTTCAGTAATGAAAACTTTACTTAAGGAACTTATTTAAATGTGCTTTAATTTGGTAAAGGATTATGGTATTTCAGTAATGAGGAACTTATTTAAATGTGCTTTAATTTGGTAAAGGATTTTGGTATTTCAGTATTGAAAACGTAACTTAAGAAACTTATTTAAATGTGCTTTAATTTGGTAAAGGATTTTGGTATTTCAGTAATGAGGAACTTATTTAAATGTGCTTTGATTTGGTATAGGATTTTGGTATTTCAGTAATGAAAACTTTACTTAAGGAACTTATTTAAATGTGCTTTAATTTGGTAAAGGATTATGGTATTTCAGTAATGAGGAACTTATTTAAATGTGCTTTAATTTGGTAAAGGATTTTGGTATTTCAGTATTGAAAACGTAACTTAAGAAACTTATTTAAATGTGCTTTAATTTGGTAAAGGATTTTGGTATTTCAGTAATGAGGAACTTATTTAAATGTGCTTTAATTTGGTAAAGGATTTTGGTATTTCAGTATTGAAAACGTAACTTAAGAAACTTCTTTAAATGTGCTTTGATTTGATAAAGGATTTTGGTATTTCAGTAATGAAAACTCAAATTGTGAGCTGTAAACTGAGTGAAGTTAGTAGATAAATTATAAGAGCACAAATTAGTAAAGAAATATGTAGTTGATGAAGTGAACTAGTTCAGTTTTGAACATCACATTTAAATGAGTAATACAAAAAAAGTAGCTTAAAGGTCAACCCACAAAAGTGTGCATAATTTATGAAGCCAATTGTAGATGGAGGAAGTTAAGCGATGAAATAAAAGTGATTTAGCTTAACTTATTTATAATGAATTCAGCTGAAATTAATTGAATCAGTTCAAAATTAGATGCGAGTTGGAATTCAAAAGTATATGAAGCTCAGAAAGCTAAATTCCGCAGATCCATCCAAGATTAACGGTTAAGGAATAAAGTCATATTTGAAGACTTGCAAATAAAATGATTCAGTAAAATATTTAGCCTGAACTGAGTTGCTTAAAGTCTCTATGAATTGAAGCGCTCACAAAATGTTCTTTCATATAAAAGTTTCTTTCATTGAATAAGCTTTAAACAAACACTATATATACTTATACAACACTACTCAACAATATTGTATAGTATAAACTACCTTACGGTATTTGAGCAGGAAAAGTTTTGTTGTGAAACGAGCCTCAACCCCATCAAAAGCTATTCGCAGTGAAGTGGGCGTAACAGCCGCCCAGGTGGAAGCTCAGATTCTATCGATTTTAAGAACAGAAAGAGCACGACTCAAGTGGAGAAATGCAACTGGTTGTGCGAGGCAGCGCTTAATAAAGTGCCACTAAAAAATTCGTCAACTCTTTTTATGCTTTTTTGTGGGCCTGGCATTCCACTTGACGGCACTTAAGTGACGTCCTGGCTGCTGGCTACTGGCAAGGAGGGTAACTTTTGCACGTGTGCCGTGCACCTGGACGAGGGGAGGAACAGACTGCCGCAATTTGCGCTGCAAGCGCAATTAAGTCAACATAATTGGCCTAATTGACTTGACAGGGCCTAAATAAAGCGCGGCAAGGGAAGCCCTAAGAAGCTGCTTTGCTCTCTCTTACCACACTCACTTATTGTCTTCTGGCTTCATTTCTTTTTCTTTTTCTTTTTTTTCTTTTTTTGGCTGATTAGTTAGGCCGAGAGCAAGCGGAGTAGCTGATGGAGCAGGGGTGAACACACGCAGCGTGGCGTCATCGAGTGAAAACCTAGAGATAAGCACGTCGTCTCAGCGTCGCTTAGCCCGCTTTTTGGCTTATCGCAAAACCAACTGAGAAAAAACCACGAAAAAAAAAGAATCTACAAAGAACGAGAAAAGAAGTCGTGGAAAGCCGAAGTACGGACACGCTTGCATGCTTACAGCAAGCACTTGATGTGAGAGATGGGCTCGTACTTCAAGTTTTCTTTTGAGAGTTATATGATATAATAGGTCTGAAAAGAAGCTTACAAATCTCTAATAAGATATAACACATTTTATCTTTATCGCATGAAGCAATACTTAAAAGCATATTCATTTTCAAAGCTACGCATATGATTTAGTAGATCGTTTGGCATTTGACAGAATATATGGTGTATATAAAGTGAAGTATAGAGAACAGGTAGAGTATACAAAGTAGACAGAGTATATAGTATATATAGAGTTTATAGAGTATATGGAGTATACAGAATATATAGAGTATATGAAGTATATGGAGTAAATAGAATATCTAGAGTATGTTGAGTATATAAATTATATATTATATAAAGTGTGTAGAGTATATGGAATATACAGAATATATTAAGTATATAGAGCACATAGAGTATATATAGTATATGTGGTATATATAATATCAAGAGTATATAGAGTATATCAAGGATATATAATATATAGAAAACAGACAATATACAAAGTATATAGAATATCTAGAGCATATAGATATATATATAGTATGGAGTACTTCATAAGATCGATAAGTTTGCTGAAGGTTAAAGAAGTTTTAATAGAAATATTACTTTCTCTTCAAGCTGCAGTTGCTGTTACGCTTTGGCAGCATATGGACTAAACATTTATATAGTCTATATAGTTGTGGCAAGCCCTCTTAACATTTAATAAGTATCTAACACAAAAACCCTTTACAAAAAAACTTAGTAAATATACCTTATAGAGCTTCGATCCGTTCAATTTTGACATATATACAAGCCATAACAACTACAAAAAGCTGTACCAAATTTCATAGCATTAGCCTCACCAGCAGCTGAGTTCACATAGGCTATATCGATCAGAAATATCAAAGTACCCGCTGCAAGTGTAGCAACAAAAGAAAAAAAACTTCAACTTAAGCAAAAGGCAGCACAGCGACAAAGTTGACACAAAGACCTCAAATAAACAAGCAGCGATTCCACAGCACAAAAAAAAAACTAAAGAAAGAAAAAATCAAACAAGAAACACTTTAAAGAGAAGGAAAAAGGCATAAAAAGAGGCCGAAGGCAGCGGGTAAAGCACTTGGGGTCAGTAATGAAGAAGAAGAAAGAAAAAAATTGAACTTCCTTCTCGTCTCGAGTTGATAGAAAAACAACGAAAATAAACAAAAACAAAAACAAAGCAAATAAAAAATCGTAAAAAATTGAATTATTTGGGTTAAGCCAAAAGCAAAGTATTAGATAGAGAGAGAGAGAGAGAAAGGGGGAGAGAAATGGCGCAATAGAAGAAACTTGACAGGCAATTGAAATTGAAATTGAAATGGAAATGGAAATTGAAACGCACTTGAGCCATGCGTGCATTCAATTGGCGCTAATTTGTGAAGAGATTAAGCGAACGGAAGAGAACGTTCTTCATAATGTTAAACTAGCATGATCATGACAATTAGATGCTGTGTATGAAGTGGAGTTTCAAATGAAATAGCTGCTGCTACATACTATAGTAATGATATATAATGATGCTAATGAGATCTTCGAAGTAGTTGAAGAAAGAAATATTTTAAAGAAAGTGAAATTACAAAAAAATAATGAAATTAAACTTGAAGAATTTACTTTTAAATCTATTCCAAATTAGGTCAACTTGAATGATATCAGCTTATGAAGTGCTCTGGCATACAATACGTAGAATCTAGTCCAAGTGAACTGAGCTTCTAGAGCAGATATCTCAATGAAACTTGATTCAGATTTCTTATGGAAGTTCGATTATAAGTATAGAAATGTATATATAAACATTCCCCAACATAACGGAACTCCATAAAGAGTATAATCTATGG